GTAATGCCTACTTCTCGGTCTTGGTTTTCTTGGTCCTGATCGTCACTATCATCGCCAATTGACCATCACCTACCAGCCTTTAGATCCATGGCTCAAATCCGCCCTTGCTCTCACTAAGTTGTTTATGCAAACCGAAAATGCCACCTTCAAGAACGACAATCCCATCCTCAAGACGAACAAGAATTTGCCCCTCCTCACCCCTGCGTCTCTCCTACTTCCGCGCCGATCTTGGTCGCCAAGTTACCATTGCTAGCAATTAAGAGGGCTGAAGAGGTGATTGCGAACTCGACCCTCAAGTCTGAGCCCTTATGCGATAAGGCGACCCTCAAAGTCTGAGTCTGCCAATTGTTCGAATCCCCGTGTTCTGATCGCCATTAAAAAGTTCAATGCGAGAGCCTTCAGGTTTATTGTGTTCCTGGGTATCAAACTCTGGTTAAAGATTCAAAAGCTTATGAGTGCGACATGGCCTAAACGAAGTGACAAAGTAGACCACAAAAGGGAGTCTTCTTTTTTTGACATATACTAACCATTATCGGAACAAAGAGAAGTAAAAAAGGAGGAAAGTGGGACTCACGAGAAAAGACAAAGAAGAAAAACCACAACCAAACAAAAAAGGATACTTAGAAAAAGTGGGAGCTATAAAGGTTAATATCGTCAAAACACTGTGACACAGAGTGTATTAGCTAGGGAAAATTCCAAATAAGGAACTGAAGTGCGTTCATTTTCTCAAATATGGACCTGAAATGGACCTTATCTCAAATAAAGGCCTAAAGTGCCCTTGTTTTCTTAAATAAGGACCTGAAGTGAATCTTGTCTCAAATAAGAACCTGAAGTGGCCATGTCAGTTTCAAATAAAAACCTCACCTCACCGGCCAAAGTGTATTTTCGGCTTTTACTTTTTTGAATTTTTTCCTTTTTTTTCTTTTTTTTTCCTTTTTATGTTTTTTTCTTTTCCTTTTCCTTTTCTTTTCCTTTACTTTTTTTTTTCCTCTCTTGACTGGGCCCGGCAACCTCTGCCGGCTTCGAGCGGAGGCTGCCCTCGCCTAGGTAGGCAAGGGTTGGCCTCGCCGGAATCAGGCGAGGGCCGCCCTCGCTTGGGCTAGCGAGGGCCGCCCTCGCTTGGGCTAGCGAGGGTCGCCCACACTAGGGCTAGGCGGCTCTCACCCGACGCCGGCGATGGTGGCCCTTGCCTAAGGCCGCCCTCGCCCTCGCAAGGGTGAGGATTGCCCTCGTTGGATCTAGCGAGGTCGCCCTCGCCCGCCTAACTCAGGCGAGGCAACCCTCTCCCGATGCCGGCGAGGGCGGCCCTTGCCTGAGGTCGCCCTTGCCAGCCCAGGCGAGGGCGAGGGTTGCCCTCACCCGATGCCGGCGACAGTGACGTCGCCCGATGTGGGCTGGGCGACCCTCGTCCGACGCTGGCAAGGGCAACCCTTGCCTGAGGTTGACAGAGGTCGCCAGCCATGCACAGTGACGGCTAGGGAGGGAAGAAGAAAAAAGAAAAGGAAAGTACAGTAAATAAAAAATAAAAAAAATGTATTCATAATTTTTTGACTAAAATACCCCTTCTCCGACGACGGAATAATCACCAGCCGGCCAAAGGTCCTTATTTGAGACAATTTGGCCACTTCATACCCTTATTTGAGACGATTTGTCCACTTCAGATCTTTATTTGAGATAATATCCACCCCATGCCCTTATTTGAGAAAATGAGAGCACTTCAAGCTCTTATTTGAAATTTTCCCGTATTAGCTATGGTGAGAGTGGAAAAAGCATAACCCAAAGAAAATTAACTGTTACTTATATGGAAAAAACAAAATGATGTGGAGGTCGATGTCATCAATTTGACCTATCTTATAAACCATCTCAGCAAAAAATCAATTGTCGTGACATATAAGTTTTATGGAGGCATGACATTGACAACAATTCAAATTTCTTAACAAAGTATGCAAAAACCTTTGGTAAGAAAGATGTTTCAAACAATTATGATGCCACACACAGTGTCAGAAGCTTGCACAGCACTAAAACGACAAAGGCATGGAGCCACAGTTCAAACAAATCCTTCACCGTCCAATTTCACGAGCGAAACTCCACTCTGATCTCCTCAGGAGCAATGTCGGGCGTGTCCTTCAGAGCCATCACGTCTCGATCGTCACCTTCCACTTTGTCGTCCATCAAGAACGCGACAACCGCACCTCCCACAAACCTCCTCTTGGTCATCTTCGAGCATGTCCATGTGGCCGTACTTCTCAGCTACAAAGTAACAAGCGGGTGGTCGGCATTCCGCGAAGAAGTCCGCGGGGTTCACGCCCCTCGGCGCGCGCGCCGGGAGGAGACGGTTCTTCTTGTGCTCGCCCAGGCCCGACCTGACGACCATCGTGGGCATGTCAAGGCCTAAGGAGCGAGGGGCGTAGGTGAGCACGGGAGGCAGGGTCTTCTTGCCCTTGTCCATGCCATCGACCGGGTCGATGCCGAGCAAAGGCCGTGAAGGGGAGGGTGAGACGGGTCGATGATTTGCCAAGGGCAAGTGCGAAGGTCACTTTGCCTCCCGCCACTGTGGCCAGCAAAGGCGAGCTTGGCGAGGTTCGAGCGGACCTTGGGTGGGAGGAACGTGCCGAGGCCTGGGGACAGCCACTCATCGGTGGTGTCTATTCCGGACAAGATGTGAAACTGTTGAAGATTAGAAACTTGTTTCACCCAGTGGAATACATCATATTAATTTGAAAGATTATACCTTTTTTCATATCTCTCTTGGTGAGAAGGTATATTATGTGTCAAATATTTCACGAGGCAGTGACACGTGATGTAACTAACCAATCAAAATTGAAATGCATAGACACACGACGACAAGTTTGATGGGATTAGAAACACGCGAACATCGATCAATGCATCACGTCATCACTGTAGTGTGATATATTTGTCACGTAAATTACTTTGTCCTATTCTAGGTTTGGTCATGTACATGTGGCAAATGAGTGCATCGTGTCGTCGTAAGTTATATAAGAATGTGGATCAAATTGATCCCCTAACTCATATTCACTCGTTTTCGTTAAATTCGAAAAATATAATTAATTCCTAACCCAACTCATACCTAATTGCACTCAATCCACTCATATGCACCATATCTTAAGGTGGTCACCGCAACCATTACTCCTCGTCTATCAGTTGATGCCGCCTCTATGCCTTCATTGCCGTCATTTGGGGGCCGTGAAAAATTTAGAAAACTTCAAAAAGGTAAATTTGGAAATTTTTGCAGATAAATAAATTAAATCTAAAAATCCACATTAGTATTTATCAAAAGAAAAACCTTAGAAAATTAAATAAGAGCCAGAAGTTTATCAAGAAAAATCAAGAAAGTCATAAAAAAAACACATGATAAATTCATGACAACCGCGGAATAGTGGTTGAGATCTGTGCTTGTCTTAGGTTCTCAAAGTATCGTATGCATCGCAGTCCTTTGGTTCGAAATTGTTCGGTGGACTTTTTGGACTTTTGTCGCATGTCGACGTCAAATTTTGAACACAACGACATAGGCGTCATCAATCATCATCATCATCATCATCATCATCTATCAAAGAGAGAAAAGAAATCAGTTTGGCCTGAGTAAGGGTGTGCAAAACGGACCGTCCAGACTGGGAATTGCTCGGATCGGACTGGACCGGCCAGTTTGGTCAGGTTTTCGAGAATGTCAGTCCGGTTTCCGGTTTTTAAAAGTGGAACCGGTGTCCGGGCGGTCCTGAACCGGATCGGACCAACTAACTATATATATATATTAATTTTTTTCAAAAAATTAGTAAAATATGAACTAAACCCTAAGTGAACTTCATCGACATAAATTTATTAATAAAAATTAGTAAAATGTGAACTAAACCCTAAGTGTTTGACCAAAAAAAAAGATTAAACCCTAAGTGGCCGGTTCCATTGGACCGGTCCGGTTCCCGATCGTAGGATCAATCGGTCTGATCCTCGGTCCCCAATTTTGGGAACTGATTTCGATTTCACCTTAGAATCGGATCGGACTGGAAACCGATTACCCCTAACCCTAAGTGCAGTAAGCAATGGAGGATGCCCAGGTAAAGAAAAGATTTGACAGGTGATGGATACTAACTGGTTGCCCTTTGGACAGGAGAGCGTCTTTAGAAAAATCTGGGAACCATTTGCTCCTCATTGCGCTTTTTCATGAATGTTAATCTTTGCTGTTCATCACTAGACCGAAGCTGGCTTTCTCTCCGTATATTATTATGTCTTACCGAATACAAGTCAATCTTGTTGACTTTGTTTTGGATACAATGCTCTATCTTTTCTTTCATTCGTGGTATGGTTTAGTCATGAATCTGGTCAGGGCGCTCTCCAGATTCACTCCCTTGTCCAACGTAGCAGCACCTGCTAATTATTTACCTACCACCATAAAGAATTGGACGATGTACACTTTACTTTTTTGATTAATATCACAAAAAACTTCAAATCGGTATACACGTAACAAATTTGCCTCAAATTAATTTTTTTACCACATAACTTTACCTTCCATTAGTTTCCATTAAATTTTACCGCCAAATTTCTGAGTTAAATGACACGTGATAGTTGACGAGTGTGCCAGTTTAGGGTTTTACCCCTTTATTTGTCACGGGTGTACCAATTTGTGATTTTTCATGGTATTAATCCAATATAACATGGGGTAAATTTGTCATAGGTGTACCAGATTGAGATTTTTCGTGGTCAAAAAATTAATTTTTGAATAAATTTATCACATGTGTACCAATTTGAAGTTTTCCGTTATATTAACCCTTACTTTTATTGTCTTACACGTATTTAAAGTACGAGGTAATTATTGGTTTACAGAAAGACATTGGCTAGAAAATTTGTAATACGATGACTTCTCAAAACTGTAGCCGCACTCGCCAAGAATACCATAATTTCTTTAACCGCACTCGTTATGATTGTAAACTTCCCCAAAGAAGAACGAAAAAAAATGAAGGATTCACGCCCATCGTGGCCAAAAAGCAAAATGCACATCGTCCCCTGTTCCTGAATCCTGTCCAAACCCCCGCCAACCTTCCATGGATGCGCAGAAGCAAGAGCAGAGGAGCTACTGGAGATGGAGCATGCAAGACTTCTTCCCCGAGGCATCCTTCGTCAGCTTCGCCTCCTACAGGACAGCCCTCTCCCAGACCTGCCCCCGCCTCAGGGACCGCCTCCTCGACCGGTCGACTCAGTCCAAGGAGCTGGTCGAGCTCAGGAAGCAGAGCGAGAACGACATGAAACGCTGCCTCAGCTGGTGGGACCTCGTCTGGCTCTGCTTCGGCTCCGTCGTCGGGTCGGGCATCTTCGTCATCACCGGCCAGGAGGCCCACGACCACGCCGGCCCCGCCATCGTGCTCTCCTACGCCGTCTCGGGCCTCTCTGCATTGCTCTCCGCCTTCTGCTACACGGAGTTCGCGGTCGAGATCCCCGTCGCAGGTGGGTCCTTCTCGTACTTGCTTGACTTGGATCAGTTCTGTGATTAGTGCAGGGGTCATAGTGCTTATTATAGCAATTGGGTTCTCTCGTGGGCATGTATCGAATTTAGTACCCGTTTTCCCTCATGGAGCGAGTGGGGTTTTCACGGCCGCGGCGATCGTGTACTGGTCTTACACGGGGTTTGACATGGTCGCGACCATGGCCGAAGAGACCAAGATGCCGTCCAGGGACATCCCAATCGGTTTGGCAGGTTCTATGGCTGTGATCACCGTGATTTACTGTTTGATGGCTCTGGCACTGACCATGATGCAGAAGTACACCGAAATTGACCGCGATGCGGCTTACTCTGTCGCTTTCTCGAGGATCGGCATGAAGTGGGCTAAGTACGTTATCAGCATCTGTGCCCTCAAGGGAATGACCACGAGTTTGCTGGTCGGGGCTCTTGGGCAAGCTCGGTATATGACTCAGATTGCCAGGGCTCATATGATCCCGCCTTGGTTCGCTCTTGTTCACCCGAAAACCAGCGCTCCTATTAATGCCACTCTATTGATCACCGTGCTTAGTGCTGTTGTGGCATTCTTCTCTAGCTTGGACGTCTTGTCTAGCGTGTTCTCCTTCAGTACGCTGTTAATTTTTATGCTCGTGGCTATTGCATTGCTGGTGAGACGGTATTATGTTAAGGGCGAGACTCCAAAGAGCGACCTTCGCAAGTTTTTGGTTTCTCTGTTTGTTATAGTCGCTTCTTGCGTCGGCGGGACGGCAGTTTGGCGCTCAAACACAGGAGGATGGATCGGTTACACAGTTGCTGATGTTTTTTGGTTCCTGGGCACTTTAGGAATGCAATTGCTGCCGCAGCGGCGTGCTCCACAGCTCTGGGGGATTCCCCTGGTTCCATATTTGCTGTCATTGTCAATTGGGATGAATATATTTTTGATTGGTTCACTGGGCTCCAAAGCATTCTGGAGGTTCTTGATATGCACTGCGGTGATGATACTCTACTATCTCTTGGTTGGGCTCCACGCAATTTATGACGTGGCTTACCATATAGCACAGCAATCAAAAGTCGAAGATGGAAAGGAGAATGTGGATCGTGGCATGTCGTAGGGGATGGTTTTGGTATAGCCTTCGATACTGGACAGTAGTATTCCCCTTCCACTTTCGAAATTGCTGTTGGGTTGGATACTTTTGCAGGATCTGCAGATCGGGACTTTGCTTGATATCAAATTCTCCATTCGATTAACGCACGTCATTTGAAAGAATTTTTTATCTTCAGCCACAGCACATCATCTTACTATGCTACTGCTGGGTATATGCATACTGAATGTAGAAATTATTGTTCATCATTCTGTGAAATCGATTGTATTTGCGTTTTCTTCTTTTGAACATTCTGTTATTTCAAGGATTATCCGGAAGAGGTCTGTCCATCACCATTGGTTACAGAATGCCATCATTAGCTAATGCCTCTTGTGGCTTCCGAGAACTCAGGTCAGCTGGGTGCTCACTGCTGAGGATTTTTTAGACAAAAGTTTACTCATTTTGATTGAATCTGCTGTTCTTTTTGGTTTCAGAAACTGGGGTTATACCATGAGAAATGCTGAAGACTGTTCTGAGGATTTTTGTTAAGCCATGTTAAATAGAGGAATGCTATTAAAATGACATACATGTCATTATGCCTTTCTTGGTCATTTATTTCTTTTGCCCAGGTAACATTTTGTTAGGTCCGGGTTCTAGTCTACACCTCTCTCGCCCGTACTGTTGAGCTGCACGTCCAATGGCATCAATTTACTGGGTATCTGAATGTGCTGATCGGCATGCTTCTATTTTCATGTTTGTCGGGATCATGAGGGAACCTAACATTATCCTTGTAGCATTACGACGAGTGCACTAATTTGCTGCAGTCTTGACATTGTTCTGAATCTGAATGACCGCATCACAAAAGGAACCGATGTTCGAAATGCCTTCATTTGGTTGGCATGGAAGCTGCTCTTCATTTTTAGTGTCATCTGCAAAGCAGAACGTGTTCATTTCAGATTTTCAGAAGAAATCATGATTTTTTCTAAGTATATTTCTTATGATAATGGTCTGCGACTGCTTAATACCGCAAAATCCTTATCTGCAATCACTGTTTCTTTGATATCCCATGAAGTTAACACAAGAAGTTACATATGGGCATGGGAGAGTCGGAACTCTTATCATATGAAAGCACTCATGCAGTGACAAGATCGAGTCTCACTATTCTTACTTTGTTAGATCTCTTTCTTGATAAGTGACGCATGAACAGAGTTAATTGAAGCTTCCTCTGGGCATTGACTTCTAGTTGTCGAGATTCACGAGTGAAGAAAAACTATCGATAAACCGGATCAAAGTATTAACAATATGGTTAAGCTTTTATCTCTTCACTGGACCAATAAAGTAGAGCAAGTAACGTTGCGACTCCCATGTGTGTGCGGGAATGCCTCAATCAGTCTCTGCACGGAATCTGAAAGAGAGAAGGGCGCTCCAGAAATTGCCTCCAGATTTGACCGGCATTCCTGGAGGTCCTCTGTGGGGTACTTGACCAGTTCATATTCAACATCCAACAGTAGTTGTAAGCACAAAACGTGCTTCAAGGAGTCCATTCTTATGGGGACAAAGGCCTTGAGCTAGTGCACAGATGGCCTCGGTTTTGGGGAAACTTCACCAATGCAAAACCATGAAAATTACATGTGTATACGCGATGTGTCCGCGTGATTGTGCACGCATTCCTCTGTACACTTGTTCAGATCAAGATAACATTCAGTTGAATTGCATAGAGATGTACTTCTCAGATTATACCGCCATGCAAGTGAGAGTTACCAGCACTTGCAGCATAACATGAACTAGGTGGCTGGCAGAATATGTTCACACCATCATTTGAGTTGTTTTGTACCAATACATTCATCCGGTTTATCGATAGTTTTTCTTCACTCGTGCTGGTAAGCGACACAAGCGATCACTTTTATGAATGTATTTTCCAAATCATTTATTTTCCATAAAACAAACGCACCTATTCGCCAACATTTTCCATGAAATCATCCATTTCCCATCCTTCATCGACCTCAACTACACAAATCGACATTACTTTCTTGCAAATTTCACATACAAACTTTGGGGTATAACAAAGTTTTCTCGAACCATATGATGCAAAATTTACAACTACACATCAGTAACAAAGCATAGATCTTCTCTCCTACTGCGAAAAAAGCCAAAACATACTCAGAAGCTTTCACAGCAGAAACTCAACTTTCTGAAGCTCCACAGGAGCGACCTCATGCCCATCCCTCAACCCCATCAAGCTCACGTCGTCGCCTTCCAAATAAGCCCTCAAGAACGCCACCACCACCCCTCCCACGAACCTCCTCATCGGCTCCCTGGCCCTCCCATTCTTGCACAGGCAGTGCGTGGCCTTCCCCCTCACCCCCGGCGTCTCGTCGTCGAGCATGTCCATGTGCCCATACTTCTCGGCGACGAAGTAGCAGGCGGGCGGCCGGCACTCCGCGAAGAAGTCCGCGTGGTTCACGCCCCTCGGCGCGCATGCCGGGAAGAGCGGGTTCTTTTTTATCTCGCCCAGGCCTGAACCGACGACCATCACGGGCATGTCGAGTACGAAGGAGCGAGGGACGTACGTGAGCATGGGAGGCGGGGTCTGCTTGCCCTTGTCCATGCCGTCGACCGGGTCGATGCCGAGCAGGGCCGAGAAGGGGAGGGCGAGCGGGGTTGGCGACTTGCCGAGGGCGAGACCGAAGGCGGCTTTGCCTCCCCGGCTGTGGCCGGCGACGGCGAGCTTGGCAAGGTTCAGGCGTACTTGAGGCGGGAGGAGGCCAGCGAGGCCTCGGTGCAGCCAGTTTGTGGTCGCTGCGGCGGAGTTGATCTCGTCGGTCGTGTCCGGCCCGGCCACGGTGTATAGCTGATGAAATAGCAAGGGAAAAGAAAATGAAGTTGATGCCTCTCTATGTTAAATATTAATTAATTTTGCCCAAATTTTTCTATTTCATTTTATGATTAGCCCTCTCTTCAAGGGGAAATTCTTGCCTAGACCCGAGTTTACGATCCCGGTACAATCACAAAAATTAAATTTTGTGAGACCTCTAAGCAAACATATATCGAAAAATTAAACGTTGGATCGGCAAAACTATTCCCATTTTGCCCTTCTCAAACATGTTTCAAGAGGTGCGACTTCAAAGAGAAAGTAGGGAGAGAGATCGAGCTTATTATCCATGCCCGTGTCTTCATAGAGCCTATTAATCAATGTAGATGAACGAGACGATTTTACACGTATCCACCAAATCAATCGAGTCAGCTCAATATTCGGATCCTCGTATGGAAAGCAAGTCTAATTGACCCGAGAATGAATTGACATTGTTCAAGTGTTTGAATCAAGTATTATTAACGAGAGTTAGAGTGAGAGCTTGCTTTATAAATTCCATCAAACAACAATAGATAAATCATAACGTATTTAAAATTTCGTACTAGACAGTACGATAAATTGCTTAACACGATAATCATATAACAAATATTGTTTTAATTTAGTTAATTAGCCATTGCCCCTGATGGTCCATTAGATTATATTCTCTTCCCAATGACATTTGACTGCATGCACATTGGAGACGTTTTGTGGTCCATGTGAACATTAGAGGAGAGCTCACACCCACGACAGGGACAAGAAGCAAACAGAGCCAATAGTACTAGAAACACTTGTACGCCCCTTCCATGATAAGATGCCCAACCAAATGCCAATAAAGAAAAAGAGAGAAGAAAACGATAGCAAGCAAGATAGTCAATAAAACCACAGTGAGAAAACGAAAGCTATTATTGTCCACCATCTTACTATTCTTCTCCACCAAGTTATCTTGGTCAGTAGGAAACAGCCCAGCTAGCTAAGTCTTTTTGAGACTTGTCTTGTTTGTTTCTTCGTTTTTGTATGGTCAAGTTTCGCCTACTTAAGTCGCGTGTCTCGATTCATATCGAACGGACAAGTGTTCGAACCGTTAAAAAAGCGCATAGATATTTATCCTGATGTTCATCTAATAGTTTAATATTGATGGACTGCTCAAGTGATAAGCGTGTTCGTCCTTCTCGTTCAAAGCCTAGATTCGGATCATCACAATTGCGCATTCTCTTCGGACTATCCCTAAGAGCACAAACATGTGTGTCTCCAGTGATAACTTGATATGTGTGGGATGCAGGGACAGACCACACCCGATGAGGGATATTGGGTGCTCAAAAAGCCCAAACACCCCGTTGATATAAAAAGAAAATTGTTTAAACTTTTAGATTAGTTGAAAGCAAAGTCACGAAAATTTTAAAGACAAAAACCTCGTAAAAAAAAGGGGCTCCTCCTCAGTCGGCATTGATTTTGGGTGCTTAGAACATGTTATTACACTTGGCAGAATCCATTTTCGCGCACATTTGTTACTGCTTTTTAATGGAGAGACTGCTAAAGAGTGTCATTGACAAGGTTAAAATTAAGACTAGACCCTTGAATGTAAATCCGATCATGTAAACATCTCATGTATTGAATCTCTCTATAAACGCATAAGCAAAACGATAGGAGCTCCGAAGTTCGTACATAAATAAAAAGAATGACTAGGAGATTTTTCGACAGCTCGACTCCATTCGTCCCCCAGAGACCCGTTTTCCCAAGTGCAAATTGCTATGGTTAAGATGATTAATCGAGCCAATTTATGAAATTCAATCGATCTCACCCCCCCGACTCAAGATGCAACAATAGTTTTTCCACCCTCTACTCCCTCGCCTGAAGCTCCGCGTCCGCCGCGGAAAAAGAAGAAGCAAATCATATACGGAAGACAGAGGGGAGGGGCCGACCTGAGGGGCGACGACGACGAACCCGTGGGACGAGACGTGCCGGATGAGCTGCGAGTAGAAGGAGTTGTAGAGGAGATAGCCGTGGAGGAACAGCAGCACCGGGAATTCCCCGGGGGCGTCCGCGGGGAACGCGATCAGGAGGGGCTTCGGAGGCGGGTCCGCGGGAGCAACGCACGACGGCGCAGACGCAGACGCCGAGGCCTCGACTCTCCGGAGCGCGGCCTTGTACTTGCCCATCTCGAACACATCGCTGGTGGTGGTCGGAAAGGAAGAGGAAGGCATGAGTTTCACTTGGGATGTTTTGTCTCTCCTCTTCTCTTCCCTTCCTATGTGCACGAGTTCTTACAGTGAGGGAGTGGATAAGTGTGTCCCTATGTGTTGCCTTTGCAGCCTCTCTCTCAGCTTGGTAAAAAGGGACGAATTTGAAGGAAGAGCGCTTGATTTTTACGGGTCAAATTCAATTTGGGTCTTGATCTTTCTTGCGCACTACGGGTGGGCTAGATTGGCCCGTGGGCTGTGTGCTAGGGTTCAGTACTGAGTTTTGGTTTGTACCCAAAAAAGAAGAAAAAAAACCATGAACACAATAATGAGATCGAGAAATTTGCATTCAAGAGTTAGGATTATTACTTTTTCTTTTCGTTTTAGGCTATATTTTATTTCTTTGTGTTTGAGTTCCCTTTACCTGATCAAATGCAAGAATTATAGCAAAAAGTTTAAATGAAGAAGAAAATTCTGGGCGGAATTTTTTTTTAATTGGGTCTTTATGAAGAAATACAAGAATCCATCGGAAGGAAGTGATTCGATGGGATGTTTGCAATTTACGGGGATTATTGTCCAAAAAGTCTTAAACCTATTGTACGGCGACCAATTCAATCCTAAATCTTTCGATAATGCCAATTAAGTCTTACACCTTTTGACGATTTGCCAATTTAGTCATAAACCTTTCAATTTGTCAATTTAGTTATAAACCTTTTAAAAATTTGCCAATTTAGTTCTAAGCCTATTATTTGGATGATTGGTCGAAAGGACTACATTGGCAAATTGTCAAAAAGTTTAGGAATAAATTGACAAATCATCAAAATGTTTAAGAGTAAATTGGCATAATTGAAATATTAAAAACTGAATTAGCAGCTATAAGATAGGTTTAGGAATTTTTGGACAATTTTTCCACAATTTACTTTAGTGTTTGGTGTGATTTTTATTTTGTACTTTTCCCTCTTTGATAGTGTTCGAAATGCGACTTTATATTTTTACGTAGAATATTAGTATTTTTTTAAACAAATAAAAATGAAATGAAGATATATTATATGTTTTCAATACTTTTACAAACTTCAAATAGTTTTTTCTCATTAAAATTTTGAAAAGAAAAAACAAATAAGTATTTTATTTACTAAGTTGAACCAAACGAGATGTTCTATTTACTGTTTTGGGCCTTTTGACGACTATCTACATTCTCAGATGTAAGGGTTGACCATGGGCCTCGAGGGCTGGTCCATGTAACAATTTTTAAGATAAAGTCAGAAAACCATGATGATTCAAATAAACTTTACGTTAGATCCTAAACTTCGGAATTTTATTTAATTAGCTTCCTTGAAACATGGACTCGATTCTAGTCTGTAACACAAGGGATTTTCTCTCATGTCGAAATCATATCTTAATTACGTTTAATTCCTAAATTTGAAGAAAATTAAATTTATCCCGCACTCGTGTGACCTATCAATCAGTCTACCTAAAACTCAAAGTTAGGAATGATTTTCAGCGAGCAGATAGAGATATTCGTGCGTTTGCACCAATTTCACGGATTGATATTGGTCACTATAGAGTGGAGGGATCGAACGCAATATGAGATTAACTATGAAATTAACTTTGAGGTTTCTTCTGTAGGATGTTCTAATTTGAAATTTGCCCAAAGCTTCAGGGCTTTAGAGCAATTCCAATTTCACCTTTGGTAATATTTCGAATATAGATAGTGCAATTATATCTTACTCAAACTCGAAAATGAGCAAGGATAATTCTAGAGCTTTTTTTGCTTTATTGACAGAGTATCCGAGGGGTTCAAAAACAACATCCCGTATTTTCGCGACTTTATTTACGGACGCTTGTGTTTTTGAAAATACAACTTTTCGACTTAGGATACAATTCAAAATTGAATAGACATGTCCTTATTAAAAAAAAAGCAAACAATCAATCCTCGAATCTCCCACAAATTCTAATCTCCTCCACTCGCCGTCCTGTGTCCACCACACTACTCGACCCCTCCGAGCACTGTCTCCACCGCCTCTGCCGCCCTCGGGCTCTGAAAACCTTAGATCGCGGCCGTCGCAAAGGCAATCTCAATTTGGTCACGAGTCGCCGCCGCCGACAACTTCAATTTGAGGTTCGTGACTTGCACGACCTATATATGAATCCCGCATTCCTCTTTGTCTTTTTTTAAGATTCCTTTTCCATGGCTCATCCCCATATGTTCAAACTCCGAGCTCCTTTCGTCCCCGGTCTTTCACCACTTCCTATCCTGATTCTTTCTCCTGGAAAAAAAGTGTGGAAAAGTGGCGGAGGTGATTGCAAAAAGGGAAGAAAAGGTCGGTGTAGAATTCAGGGCCACAAATAAAAATAAGGGGGCAAAATTAGGGGGGTGTGGGAAAGAAATCCAGAGGCCCCACCATTATCCTCCACACCCCCCTCAAAGTGAAAGGAAAAGTTGGAAGAATTGGCGCCCAATGATTACGAAAATAACCTCGTTGTATCCGGTCATTTACAGCTTTTTGTCCTCGTCAATATCATCCTAGATAAGGGCAAAAGTGTAATTTCGGTGCCAATATATTCTTTCCTCCCAGTTTCTTTTTTTTCTTCCCAAACAAATCAATTGGTAATTCTTCCCCTTTTTCTTTCCTCTCCATTTCTGTCTCTTCCAAGCAAACTCCAAGGGAAATCAATTCCTACCATCAATTCTTTGCTCGCCTCACATTTTTCCGCTTGGGTTTTTCTCATCCTCTCACTTGCATCATCCAAACAAAATCCTTAAGAAGTAAGTACTATGTAAGAATTTTTATCATATCCATTATTTATAAAAAAAAATTTGTTGTTAAATGATAATCCGATCGCATGCACGCGTAAAATCTAATCATTCTACGCTTACATAGATAGATACTGATTGCACCTATCGCCAAAAGCTACTTGTGGAAATAGATCGTTTCCAATCATTGCAGATAGATTAAAAGACCACTAACTAGGTGATTCGTCCGTGGTCCAAGACTAGTTTGCAAGCTACGATTCCTACTCTATTATCGATCTCAGGAAACCTTGGTTAGTCTGCGAAAGGACGGACCCAGACGTCGGTTCATCGCCGGTCTTGGGCTTTTCTCACTTGCAATTGGCAGGCCTATAGTGACGGGCTCTTCTAGTTGGTAATTGGTGTTTTGTTGGTACCTTAAACCGAACATTCTAGCAATAAACGAGATAGGTCCCAACCCCCTCTAAAACTCTTTTTTGTAATAGAAAAGAATACATTAAAAGACCTCAAACTTTCATTGTACCTATTCTACTGAGACCCTATTTGGTTGCAATATGCATTGGATCAACTAAACTCAGCTTTGCTCCGTCACATAAGCGGAAAGCTAAACACATCCCTGATATGGCAAATAGGGAAAGATTAAGGAAAGATTCGGTATTGTCGTTTCCCATGTAAACAAACGCAGAAAATATAGATTTTAGGGAAGACTAGCGTGATCCATTTGACAGAATCCAAGTGCCAAAACAAGACAAAAGAAACACTAACACAACGTCAAACATTCCCTGGATGTTCTTTAGCTAAAACCTAGACGTCCAAAGTCTAAGCTAAGCGTACTTTATGCATTCAAAAACATGTGGTCACCACCAAGAACAATTAACAATTAGCAGACTGCATCGTGCATGACAGATGAACACAATGCCCAAAACCTCAAACGAGTGCGCTCCAATCAAACGAAAGGTGTCTCTATCTCAGCCCACCAGAGTCCACAATCACATGAATCGAAAACAAAAAGAGCCCTCAAAGAATCAAAAGCCAAATCTCTCTCCACTATGTTATTCCTTACTTAAATGAGACTCTTCCTTCACTTTTTTGACTGCCCTAGTCCAAGACTCCCCTTTTTTTTCTTTCCCTTACGGCGAAAGAACAAGGACATACGAATCACATGGTCTCTCTTTGCTTTCGCAGACCACATGTCTCACTGCTTTACTTTTCCAGTTTCAGATTAGGATAGAAAAATTAAAAGAGAAGACAGAATTGTGGACTTGGACTCAATCTCTGTCCAGATCACAAACAAACAAAAACCAAATCTCATTGCATCATCATCATCCCCAATTTATATGCTTTCTTCTGGATAAAGCATTTGACATTCATGAAAGAGCCACACATTCAATCAAGCAATCTTCTAGAATAGAATATATGATATGATGGAGGAAAACCCAGAAAAAAATTTAGGAATTTAGGGAGACCCAGATGGAATTTTGCCATTAATTCCTCCTTTTTACAATAGAAGAACCAGAAAAAGACCCCAACCCAAATCTAAGAAGGCTCTTACATATTCCCCTTCCGGGGACAAAAAACCTTACAGATTATAAAGATTATAGTTTAATTCAAAAGGGTGGTCACGTAGTTAAATCCCCCAATCACACGAGCTTCAAATTCTATGTCTATTGCTTCGATCGGCAGCAATGGAGAGGAGCCTGGCGACGCCCTGAGTCCAGTTATCGTAGTCTCTCTGGCTCGAGCACTCAAACTCTACGACACCCCTCATCACAGTCTTCAGCGCAAAGTATCTCCGGTTCTCGCCGCCCTCGAGCAAGTGACGGCCTGCCCAGGCCGGCACGTCTTTAATCACTTCCAAAACCACATCTGCAGGAACAATTTCGAACGGGTTCAGGAAAAAGATAAAGCAAAAGATGAATCCTTTTGATCTTCTTCTCTCCACTTTAGTGACGAGTTGGATTGAGCTTTCACAAATCCCCAAATGGAAGACCCACATCCACTTTCAGTGTTCACATTATCATTAGAGAGAGACAAAAGCAATCAAGACTCACTCTTTTTCTTTTTTGTGATGGTCCCAGCAACATGCCTGCTCTTCATCTTCAACATCACCTGCGCAAAAGAGAAGCATTTTATAGAGACCAAAGGTAAAAGTAGTGAAAGTAGATCCATTTATTCCATCATCATCTTCAGATATTTTCACTTTTGGTCTTGTCTCGCATCTTTTAGACCATCTCTTCACTTTCAAAGCTACAAAAGTCTAATCTATGCCCAATTATTGAGTCATCTCATTGAAAACAAAACCATAAAGTACAAGCTTCCACATATGCCAATTACCTGATTGAATCGGTTTATGTAAACAGAGACTATCTTCCAGTGCAGATCACCTGCGATCAACAGGGAAAATCACATCAGCAAAGAGTCTGCGAACGTGTGTGTGATCAATCATCAATCCAATGCAGCTACTAACAAACGAAGAAAAACAGGTTTAATTGTAAATACTTCACCCTCTAACACAGCGCGTAATGACCCGTTGATTAAACTCGAACAACTTAACGACAATTCATTCGATTGTAATGGCCTAAATGACTTAGGTATCCACCACAATTCACATGAACCTTTTGCCCTGAGATTCCTTGTGACTAGAAACTACCAATTTCAGTGATTAATAGAGGACCCAACAAATCTACAGAGCTAATTTTATCGAGCAGATGCTACCAAAAAATTATGCTTGTATTGGACACAAGAAGTTTGAGACCGCTCTTCATTACCCTTGCGAGTGCGCTTGAGAAGCTCGCATCCTCTGGCCAGCCACTCCCTGCTGCAGATTCCTAGGAAATTCTCTTCCGGGACGAGTTCGTCGCTGTTACTGCTGTTCGAACTACAATTGGTGAGGCTAGCGCCGCCACCGCCGGCGCCTCCGATCCCCTTCTCCACCGGAATAACCGCTGCTATGTTCCACACCTCCTTCAGTGTCCTTGCCTTCAATGTCGCCGCCCCACGTAGAGCTGGGGAACCAGGGCCAGATTCACCCAGATCAATTCGATTCCATCATTTCGAAATCACAATCCAACAGAAATTCATAACTCGATTCTTGACTCAAAAGATTGAATCCCGAATGCATTTATACCTGTAGCTGCGCCTGCGGTTAAGGTCATGATATCGCCAGCCGACCGGACATTGACAGCAGAGCTGACGATTGCAGCAAGGTGCTCCCTCTCGGCCCCCATCGCCTCGGCAGCCTCGACGCACTGCGCGGCCACCAGGGTCGCAGCCGAGGCAACCGCCACGTTGGTCTTCGCCATCTGCTCATCCTTGCCCGACCCCGACGAGGCAGCGGTGGCAGCCGCCATGGCGGCGACCGCCGCGGCGACCCCTGCAACAGAGATGGCCGCATGGAGCTGGGCGTTCTGGGCCCGGGCCTCCTCCTTCTTCTTCTCCCTACGGTCCTTCAACCACCGCCCCACCGTCTTGCCCCCGCCGCCACCGACCACAACGGCTCCTCCGCCGCCGCCGCCGCCTCCTCCTCCACCCCCTGGCGTGGAGGAGGCCCTCAACTGGTGGACATTGAGGGAGTTGTTCGGCCGGCAAAACTGCATGGAAAGATGATTGTGGGTCACCCATTCCATGGAAATATCACATTCAAGCCTTCAAATTTAAGCAACCCCCTTTCTTAAAATGGTTATTGCTAGTGCACGTGGACATTGCCATCATGGACATTGGCCATGGGACGATCAGTTTTTGGCTATAATTAGCGACGGGCCAGCGAAGAAAATCGTTTAGTGGTACGCGGGGCTGAGAACGCACCGCCAAACCGCGCCCCCCCCAACCCTTTTTCCATTTCAACATTCATGTTTTCATTGGGGGGAATGGTGGGTCCATAAATAAATCCATTAATGCGACCAAAGTTTGAGAGACGACCATAATTGAGTAAAGAGTCCTGATGAGTGGCTCTATGCACCGTACATTAATGTTCCACCAAACGCTTGCTACAAACACCAAACAAATACTCCGTACTTTTACAGAGAATGAAAATTTCAGATCTTGTCTTTGCCTTCCCAAACAGTTCAGCATATACCAGAGGGAGGGAGAGAGACAGCGAGAGAGAGATTAAACTAATGATCCGAGTAAACACACTCATTGTTCTGTGGTAAACCCGAGAGAAGTTTTGAGACTTTTTGTTCTCTAGAAAAAGGGTGAGAACCCGAAGAAGAAAGAGAAAATGTAAAGAGGAGCGAGAATTATTGCATTGAGAAAAGGGAAGCGTCGCAGTTCCAGGTCTACTCTATCCGAGTGCAATTAAGTGGAGGGTGGCTTCGATTAAAGCAAAAGCTGATTACTTGTTTCGCGCAGTGTTTCTTTCCTCTCCCAGTACAACCACAGTCTTCGTGCTTCCCATCCCCAAGCTCACAGAACAAAGAAAAAGGAAAAATGAAAACTAGGGTCGTGTCGAATTTCGATTCATGCTCTGTTCTCTTTAACCATGCTGAAAAAATTATTTGTTTTTTCTAGTTTGTGTTCAAGTTTTGTCCATATCTGTTAACGTGAGTAGGGTTTAGATCGTGTCGGTTCGCGTCTAAAAGAAAAACCTCAAAAGCGAAGCGAAGAACAGAGCCATGACAGTTGAAGGAGGATCAAGAAGAGAGCGGAGAACGGGAAAAGGGGAGCGAAAAAAACTGACCTTGGCGTCGTCGATTTCGGAGGGAGAGACAGGAGGGCTGTCGGTCAGGGAGCCGCAGCTCTGAGTCCCGTTGAGCGGTCCGCTGCTGTGAGAGAGCCTCCCTGAAGTTCTTGGCGACACCTCTTGCTGCAAGAATCGCCGAGGCCAACAAAGAAAAGTATGTTACCACCGAGGAATCTTCCTTTTGGGTTTGCAGAGACGATCGAAACGATGAAGGAAACGAAGTGGGGAAAAAAGGTTCGCGTGCGCTCGATGATAAAGTCCCCGGAAATTTGAGCTTACGTGAAGTTTGAGGGAATTACCAAAAATAGCATGAGTTTCAGAAGATGGGTGTTTCAGAGGAACGCAGCAAACGTGTGTGCGTAGTGTGTGTGTGTGTGTGTGTGATGATCTTGAGGAAACAGCCAAAGAAGATGGAGATTGGTTCGTGATTTCACAGAGAGAATGGAGCAATTTTTCTGCTGCCGAAAGAAAAACAGAGCACTTTTTTGGGCTAAATGAGACAAGCACGAATACGTTAAATTACAAGAAATGTTGCAATGCGAGCGACACCACTTCACAAAGAAACCAAAGAAAGAAAGCCAAAGAAAAAAAAACGCAAGAACTCTCAAACCATGCTGAGTTTTTCTTTTGCCGAGCACTCACCGACTGAGACATGATGCGCTCCATGACCATCTGGGACGTCTCGGAGGACGCGAAGGAGAAGGGGTTCCCGGAGCAGGTGGCGCCCTCCTCGAGCTCGCCGGCCAGATCCTCCAGGATCACCCCGCCGCAGCCGCCGCCGTCGCCGCCGACGCCGCCAACGGGGTAGGCCTTGGGGAGCGCCGGCGGCGGCGGGGCGAGGGCCTTGGAGACCTCGAGGGCGGACACGCTCCAGGAGCGGGAGAGGAACTCCATGGGCTCGAGCGGCGTCTCCGGCGGCCGGAAGAAGATGGGGTCGAACCGCCACTGCTCCGCCACCGCCTTCTCCATGGGGGGATGGAAGCTCGAGGTCGAGCTGCGATGGCGACTCTGCGTGTGGTTTTGCGTGTACTTAGCGATCAGGGAGAGAGTTCGTGCTTTTGAGGAAGAGAGGGAGAGAGGCAGGGGAGTCGGTGTGTCAGCTTGCGTTTATATAGCCTTTTTCAGCATACGAAATGAAGGCATCTTTTCTTCGGCGTTTTTTTTCCTTCTTTTTTTCTGGTAATTTTTTTGCTGCTTCTTGTCTTGCTTTTTCTTTTTGTGTTTCTCTTTCTTTTTATTTGATATAACGACACAAATAATCCCTAAACTTTAACTCGATATATAATTTGATCCCTAAATTTTTAATTTATTCAATATAATCCCTGAATTTTAACCCAATACGCAATGTGATCGCTAAACTTTTAATTTATTTAATGTCATCCCTAAACTTTTAGTGCATATTCAATTTAGTCCCTGAACTTAGGAGTGAGCGGATCCCGGTTCGGTCCGATCCAAACCAAGAACTGGGAATCGGACCGGGAGGACCGGTTCCCAGTTTCTAGGATCAAGGACCTAACCGGATAGTCTTGGGACCGCAGATCGGACCGATGGTCCGGTCCGGTCCGATCCGGTTCCAATTGGACCAATATTAAATATTATTTGTGAATCGGGAACCGATTGTTCCGTTCTTTCTTTTGTAATTCTGATTTGATCCCATAAGGCCATGGAAAAAATTGAAAAAATATATAATATATGAAAAATTGAACAATCTGTTCTAATGAAACCAATATTAAATATTTTTCATATATATATTATATAATATATGAAAAATTAGAAAAATATATATTTATCGGTCCAGTCCGATTGGTCCGGTTCCCACCCTAGAACCGGAAATCGAATCGCCTGGAAACCGGTTCCACTTTTAGGAATCGGGAACCAGATCGATATTTCCAAGAACCGGATCAAACCGGTCAGTTCGGTCTCGGTTTGGGCGGTCCATCTTGCTCACCCTTACCTGAATTATATGAAAATGTTCAATGCTGAAATTGCACATTGAGCAAAAGTTCGGGGACTATTTATGTAATTTTCCCTCTTTGTTTCGTGGGATTGTGTTGTGCCCTTTTTCAAATTCTTTCTTTCTTTTTTCACGAATTGTTTTCCCATTAAGGCCTAGCAAGGATAGAGAGAGTGAATTCATTGATGATTGTAAATTATTTGGGATAGTTTAAATGTGAAATTATTTGAGTGAGCGAGCTGATGATTTTTCAATAGCGCACTTTTTCGAGTTGATACCACGAAATATCTTGTGATAAATTTACCCAAAACTAATTTTTTGACCATAAAAAATCCTAAACTAATACACTTGTGACAATTTTACCCTCCGGTAGTTTCCGTTAAATTTTACTGTCAAATTTCTTAGTTTGATTACATATGACAGTTGATGGGTATACCAGTATGGGGTTTTTCTCAGGTTTCACAAATATAACAATTTGGAGTTTTTGGTAATTAAAAAACTAATTTTTGGTAAATTAGTCATAGGTATACCACTTTTGGATTTTTCATGATATTAATCTCATTTTTTCTATGAAGACAAGATTTTGGCTGTTTAATGGGATGACATGAAACTTGGAAATAGGTTTAGGGAGCCGATTGAAATAAACTGAAATTCGTGTAAATATATCGTGTGCGTTCGAAATATTCCATGGATAACCACAAAGCTCACGAGAGCAGTGATTATTATGAACATCCTCTGGGAATGTTGTATGTAAGACTGGGTTTGATCGTTCCAATTTAAGAAAAAGTGTCTGGCCAAAAAGAGATACATAGATAGGACATTGAAAGCTAATGTCATTCCAATCATAAGATGCTTTATTCAAGTTAGATTTCGGGCGACAAAAAATATTCACAATGGCACAATAGCATGTCAAGTATTAGAATGTCTAACCCAATAATTTAAGCTATCAAGTGGAGAAATATCACGTGTATATAAATAGCATATAAAATCCGTTATTAAGCAGTGTCAGATATTTCAACATCAAATATCATGGTGGATTTTGCGTTTAATTACAAGAGCGGAGAATATTAATTTTTCAAGATAGCTTTTTTTTCTCTCTAATTAAGTACAGAGATAAAGCACAAACACAAAACCCACATTTCACAAATAGTGTTAAATTACCGATGAGCATGAGTCTATCGATCTCGTACTATCTATTCAATATGCATGATGTTCATTGAAAATTGCTCGTGAAAAATAATATTTCAAACCGTATTCATCTTCGGGCCTTTAACTTCGTCTTACATTTTACTGTGCGATCTTCGCAACGTGAGATTTTGGTATACACCATTTTTCGCAGCTATAGTCGTCGATACTCTTACCAGTGTGTGATAAACTTAGGTATTATTTACAAATTACTAATACCAGATTTTTTCCTAGCATCAATGAAGTGGAGAAGTATCAAAATACTGTGCATGCAATTCCTTAGAATCAGAGTTTACTGTTGGATAATAAATGAAGTTACCCTGTCCCACTCGCAACTTTGGGAACGTTGCTGAGCCTTATTAAAGACTAGATTGATGCAGAAAAATGGAATCATAATGTCAAGAGTTGATAGCTCGAGAAAACCCAAATTAATATATTTGTAAAATATTTATCATAAATTAATTTTTTGATCATAAAAAATCTCAAACGGGTACACTTATGATAAATTTACTCTCCGTTAATTTCTGTTAAATTTTACTATTAAATTATTGAGTTGGATAACACATGACAGTTGACAAGTATAATAATTTGGGATTTTACCCTTCGTTTATCATATATGTACTGATTTGTGATTTTCGTAATATTAATCTAATTTAACAGAAACTAAGGTAATTTTATTTTACCCTCCATTATGGAAAAGCTCCTTAAAACCTAATTTTCAACCCTAAACTCTTACCATCCCTCTCTCTCTCCACCCATCTCCTTTCCTTTTGATCTTCTTGTTTTTGCTTCTTTCACTTTGGTCCTTTGCGGCGTAGCTACAGAAAAAGTCAGGTGGTTTTGGACCGATTCAATCTTTAATGGTTCTTTCATTGAAACACACCGACATCGACTTATTTAGATTGGGTGAAATATGTTTAAATCTAGTTCTGAGGGAGAATACCTATTCTACAGATATCAATTCAATTATACAGCTTTGCATGAAATTTCAATGTAGTCCTTCCGATTAATTTTTACTAGAAATCGCTAATGTGACAGTCGAGCCATCGCTGGCCATCCTACGTGATAGTGTGCCACGTTAGTGATTTCTAGAAAACATTGGCCAAAAAGACTATATTGAAATTTCAAGCAAAAAATTTATGATTAAATTAGCAAAATGAAAATTTTAGGACTGAATTGACTCCATACAATAGGTTTAGTATTGATTAAACAATTTCCCTAGTTCTAAGGTGTGTTACGGCAATAAGATAAGCTCACAAAACACCCAACTTGAGTCGGTCAGACCTTAGAATGGCCGGTGCCCACTTTTCGCCGCAGTAACAAACTTTTGCCGAAGCAAAGCAACATGCCGCCCGGATTAACATCGGACACCCACCTTTGACCATATTTTAATGGGTCACAACATATCGTACTAGACCACATTGCTCCTCGCGCTCGATGGATTATTATCAAGTGGACCAACGAAAATAACTACGTAACCACTATAATCAATTTGGCAATTCTCAAATGATGTGAACCTTTACATAATCTCATCCCCCACCATCTATCCTTACGAGAGGGGCACGGGGACGGCGACAACACTTGACCGAATCCATCTCCCAGTATTGGATTTGATCGTGACAAAGAAAGTGAAACGAAAAATGAAATTTTTTTTTTTAAAGAATGAAAAGTGATGGGAATTTTATTGAAGGATAATGATACAAATAGTCCCTGAACTTTTTAGCCTAATGCTCTATATGGTCCTTCAACTTTTAACTTGTTCAATGTGATCTATCAACTTTTGATACACGTTTAATGTGATCATTAAATTATATGAAAATGTTCAACATAGTCCTTGAATTAATGAAAGGACTACATTGAATACTTTCATACAATTTAGGGACTTAATTGAACATAATATTGAACAAATTAAAAGTTCATGGACCACACTGCATATTGGGTTAAAGTTCAAAGATCATACTGAATAAATTAAAAATTTCAGGATCATATTGAATAAATTAAAAAATTTAAAAATGTAGAGACTCTTCGTGTCATTTTCTTTTTTATTAATTTTTCGGGACCCTTCTCGGACCCAAGCCATACCAATCGAACTGTATCCATCTGGAATATTAATTGAATTGGGGCCAATTTCGAAGAGGAAGAGAGGCTCGTGAAGAGCCCGCCACGCGTTGCGAGGGTGGGATTTGATAGCGGTGTTGCAATTATCGTGAAGATTTGTCTGGCGCGTACGTGAAATCGAGTGAACAGTGGCCATCAATGAATGCTGGAGCCGTACGTGATCCGATATGTCCGGTTAAATGAGTCGATCGCTTTTGTAGAGAATTTCTCAAGACCCGAGAAATTACAGTGTACTTTACTTTTGTTGACACCTATGAATTGGTCAAAAAAATGGGTATTGGCCATTCGAAGAGATGCTTAATTTTTTTCTTGTCAAAAGAACGTTTCATCCATTTATAAAGATCAAACTTGGAGGAACCAAGAAAATTTTCAAGCAAAAAAAATTCCATAGAGCTGCGAAACAAAACAAAACCAGGAAGTAACAAGAGCACAACCCATAGATATAAGCACGTTCTCTTCCCCAAAGACCAGATCTGTCACAGTACCGAAAAAATAGTCGGCGGTTGATCATCGAATTCTCGGTAATGGGCATATGCCGAGATCTTCTCTTCCAGAAATTACGGCTTGCGGTGTGCACATACGTTCGACACTCTCAACACCATCGCCATACAGAGACGACGACAGCAACAATAACATGTTGAATAACCACAGATCGAACGCCTCTAAGGAATTCCTAGATGTACATTTAGATCGGGAGAGAAAAGCTCCTAAATTTAGATCTAAACCTGAATTGGGAAAAGAGAGCTTTCATCGAATCTCGAACAAATCATAGAACCACGGCCCGAGCATCTTGTTGGTTGGACTAACGACGACGTTCTCACAAAGTTC